CTGGCGTCTCGAATGTTTAACAAAGTAAGTTTTTTTTTTTTGGTCATTATACGTAAAAGAACTTAAAATGAATAAAAAACAAGTAAGGAAGGGCTAAGTTCGGATATAACCGAACATTTTATACTCTCGCAAAGTCAAACTCGTTTGAGATTTCTTTTAGGATTGACTGATATTTTCGGTAGAAGGTCAACTATAGGCACTGGGGTCCACATATTTAGTACTAAGGGGCTTGAACATTTTTGGTTCGATTTAGACAATTTTTGGTCACAAGGTGGCATACTTTAAAGGTATTATTCATGCAAAGTTTTACACCGATATAATCATTGTTGCTTGATATGCATAGTGGAAAGTGGATGAATCAGATAGAATTGAAAATGGTGTTATATAGGAAATAGGCGTGGTTGTAGTCCAATTTCGCCCATTTTCGCACAATACCATAGAAATATGAAAAGAACGTTATGCACTGAATTTTATTGAAATCGGTTAAGCAGATCCCAAGATTTGGGGTTTCACCTAAAAATGGGCGGTGCCACGCCCTAATTTTAAACGCGGTTTCTATAAAGTCATCTCATACCATCCCAGAGATAAAATTTAATGTCTTTGGCGTGTTTAGTGCTTGATTTATCGCGCTTTTAGTAGTTTTTAACAGTACCGTTATTCCCATACCCATTTTCACACCGTCGATAGAGATGCTAAAAACATTTGTTCTTAGTGAATTTTGTTATTATAGCTTCAGTGGTATGGGAGATATGCACATTAAACTTTTTGGGAGCGGGACCACGGCCACTTTAAAAAAAATTCTAACTGTAGATGCCTCTTCCCAATGTGATCCTATGTACCAAATAAGAGTATTGTATCTTGTTGTGGAGCTTAGTTATGGCAATTTATTTCTTTTTGATTAATGGAGTTTTGTGGGTGTGGCAGTGGTCTAATTACGCCCATCTGCATAACTAACCGTCTTACGGTACCAAGAAACATGTGTACCAAGTTTCATAAAGATATCTCAATTTTTACTCAAGTTAGAGCTTGCACGGACGGACGGACGGACGGACGGACAGTCACCCGGATTTCAACTCGTCTCTTCATCCTGATCATTTATATATATATAACCATATATCTAACTCGATTAGTTTTAGGTGAAACAAACAATCGTTTGGTGAACAAAACTATTATACTCTGTAGTAACAAGTTGCGAGAGTATAAAAATTTTAAAAGCAAGAAAAAATGTTAACTTAGTCTGCACTGAAGCTATAAAGCCCTTCACAAGTTCATTTATTATAGTATAAATAGGCATAAAAACTTCTTTATCTTGATTTTTATCTTTATCTTATTTCATCTTTGTTCGAAGGTTGTCGCATAGTCTTCGATTATTGTCTATACTAAATTTCGTGAAAATATCTTGTCAAATAAAAAACTTTTCCATACATGGACTTGGTTTTGTCTGGTCAGTTTTTATAACAGGAATATATGCTATAGTATTCCGATAAACGGAAATGGACATGCGCAAAATTTCAAATCGATATCTCAAAAACTGTATATAGATATACAGATGGACTTGACTAAATCGTCTCAGCTCGACACGCTGAACATTTACATAACTAGGTGTTACAAACTTCGTGGATAGAATTTTTAAAAACCTCAAAGAATAACACAATGTATATGCATGTAGATAGAAACTTTATATATTTATCGTGCTTACGATGAAGAGACTCCTTTTTGTATTGGGACATTGCCACTGGGCTAGAAAACTAGTAAGTATGACAATAAAGCTTCTTTTAATAAATTTAATATGTTTAAGAAGAAGTAGATTCTCACCCATTGACATGTCCTTAAAGCGTATTATTTCAAAGACTTTCAACTCATTGGGGAGTAAAAATCAATGTGATTTTTCTTAGATACTTTACTAACATTAAAAAAGTAAAATTCACTGGGCATTAGGGTGGAGCGAAAAAAATTTTATTTCTGAAAAAAATTTTGATAAGTGTTTTAGAAGCTGTGGAGAGTCCTATTTCTGGCCAATTAAATTTATGAACTTAAAAAAAAACTTTTTTGTGGTCATTATTGGAGTTTTAAAAAAAGTCTTAAATGACCACATGCTTGCCTTAAGCGTTAAAATAAATTTTGAGTTCAAAACCGTCAAATTCGGTATATTTTAAATAAACGTGAAGAGTTTAAACCAAAAATTATTATTTTTTGTCCAAAAAAAATTTTAACTCGAAATTTACTTTAAAACTAAGCGCGCCACCTCTAGGTGTTAAAAAATTTTTTTTTTGTCCAAAAATTTAATTTTTTTATAATCTACAGATTTTACCCCCAGGCTAAGCAAAAAAAAATATTTTTTTTCGCTCCACCCTACTGGGCATACATTTACATTTATATCGCGTCCCCACTTATGGTTTTGAATCTCGAGAGTTTCCTCCACTTAATCTGCACAAATCGTTGTCGCTTAGGATTTGTGCAGATTGTGTGGAGGAAACTCTCGAGATTCAAAACCATAAGTGGGGACGCGATATAAATTGGCATTCATTTCAAATGAAACTAGTATAAATTTTGCATTTGGATCGCGGCCAGTAGTTTGTTTTTACATGCTTATCCCATAACTGCACATTTAAAATGTCTTAATTATTAATAAACTATTTTACAAACGACGTGAAAATTCGTTAATTAGACGTCTGGTTGCACTCTCAAGATTGAAAATGAGAGTGTCCAACAGTGTAGACGTTCGCGCAAACATAACACAAATATAAATTATTTAATTTAAAGAGAATGTTGAATCTTTCAAGTACTAACCTACTTAAAATTTTGAGATAACTTTTGTTCAATAATATAGTCAAGCTTTTTAGTTTGATTTTATTGTTATTTCTCTGCATTCTGTTGTCGTAAAGAAGAGGATGAACGGTTTTTGCCTGTTCAGGACCCTTTAAAGGGATTCAAAATCTAACAACCATGGTGAAATATTATTTTATTTGTTCAATTGATGATTGATAAAATGACCGACTTTTTTTTATTATAAAAGTAAAATAATGGTATATGATTTCTAAATTTTTGCCGTACAGTATTATATTTTAACACGCAATTTAAAAAATTTCAGATTATTGGCTAAAACTTTTTTTAATATTTTCAAGAGCAAATATAAAATGATTTTTACACTTTTAATTATCATTTATCGACAATTGGCAAACAAATCAAAAGCTCCATCAAGAGAAGAAGATAAAATTTGTTTGACAATATGCTAACGTGGTATATGTATTTATGTCTTCTGACTCGACACGCTAATTTCTCGGTTTCTAATTGCAATTAATTTCGGTTTTGAGTCAACACATTACCATTAAAAAAAAGTATTTTTTTACTTTGAACGCTAAAAGTGAACTTTTGACCACCGTGCGACTGAGCACTCGCCCGCCACTCATCAGAATTCGCTTCCATCCCTGAATATGTCAAGTTGATTTAGTTTTACGATTAAATTTGCCGCACTGACAAAATGTTTCGCAAACGAAAATGACATCTTAATTTTCGTAATTGCAAATAATGAATCTCTGTGTATGGCCCGACATATTTAACATTTTCGCCTTAAATATGATTATAAATTTTATGGCGCAATGGGCTAGGTGCTCCGTACAATCGATTGTGCATACATGCATACAAACTTAATTTTTCATATTTTTGTTGTAAACTTGCAAAACGAGTACATGTAGGGTTGATTCGTTGTATGTTTGAAGAAGAACTTTTGTTGCACCAATTAGCATGAAGTATCGCCATTTTTACTCACTTTTTGGAGACACATACCAATAAAGTTGAACTGGTAGACGGGACTCGTTAAAAATGAGATTTCATTTTTGCGAGAAGGGTAGATAAAAAAATTATATCATCAAATATTTAGAAATAAAATCTAAAAAGTACCGACGTTCTCACATTCTAGAAGAATTAAAAGAAGTATCTCGCAAAGTCTGCAAAAAAGTATTAAAAAATTTATTGCATATGATATAGCCAGTGAAGCAGGAAGGGTCTACGGTCCTGGATATAAAATATATATTTAGGGGTATATCATTGAGGGTAAGCGTGCGCAGTGGGTAAGTGTATGCACCCTGTTTCTCTGTACAGAACTTCGAGGAATAAATACAATATATTTAATTCATGTATTGATGCCATGAAAAAAGTACCTTATATAAAGAAAGAAGTTTTTAATTTTAAAGTTTCATTCAAAGTTCTATAATTTCTTTTAAGTTTAATTTAGTCATCTGATAATATGTCATTTTATAATGATAAGTCGGTTTCTCATTACTTAATTATCTAATTTTCAAGTGTTGCTTTTTGATTTTTCTCATGAACCATTTGTTTTGCTCCTAGTGTAAAAATACTATGTGTTATTTTTTATTTTATTACTTACTATTATTACTTCAATAAGACCTTTATCATATGCATGGGTTCTTTTGTCCTTATTCCTTATTATTTAGTTTTGACAATTTAAATCCTTAAGAACACCCATTTGACCCGAATACAAAAATATGATTGGTTTAAAAGATATTAATCAATCATTCTTCCCTTATATCACTGATCTTTTAGGATCCAAGTTGTTAATTACCGATATTAAAAACACAAATAAGTAAAGTATAAATATATACATATTTGCAACTCATGAGGATTGCTTAATTGCGCTTTTGTAGCTCATTTGCTTAAATATATGGCTAATTATCGCTAAGTATAGAAGTACTTAATAGGTATTTGTCTTCCAGACATTGAAGTGTGCGTGCACAAATGAAAAGTCTTCGTCACGCCCACCACCGCCTGTGAAAAGGAAATGTCGCATGGAGGCAGTTCAGTTTGATTATTTGTTCACTCTCACACGTTGACACAAACTAACACCTAGGCCACTTGAGATTTATTATTTGTGGGGGCATCTAACTATTTGCCGTCCTGCTCTTTTGCTTGGATGGTGTGATATCTATTCATTGAAGATCACTTGCGCCGGTTGACTAAGTGATCTACAATATTAAACGTGCAGCGTCAATCCATGAAGGATGTGTATAGCGCTTTTCGCTTGATCGCTTGTACGTATTTCGGTGTTTAATTCACACTTTATTTACTCAATAATAATAATAATATTTGGAACGTTCCAGTACTTATAAGAAAATGGATACGCGTTCGGCCGTTCGTTGTTTTCAGAATAATTTTTCAATTGATAATATATTATCGAAACCAAATACAGGCAAATGTAGTGAATATTTTTCGGCGTTAAGTGATTCGAATAAAAATGCCCCAGAACCTGTGACACAATGTAAAAATGTTGAACATTTAGAAGTTGAAAGTGAGATCAATATTGAAGTGCAATCACGAGTAGAATTATTAACATCAAGCCCGGTGTCGAGCTGCACAGGAGACGGCATAGAAGATTCGAAAAGTGATGTTGCATCTGAAGATGGCAGTAGTAAGTGATTCGACAGCGTTATCCGATTTTCAAGTAATTATGTATATTGATATTTAAACGGGATCTGAAATGATCCAAAGATTAAAGAAAGTGGCGGAAAATTCAAATTCGTATATCTATCTCTGTCCTTTATACTCTTTCTGATATATTATATACCGATTTTAATGGTTGCTCCAAGAAATGTAGTAAAATAAATAATCGGCGAGCGGTAATTAGATGACTTATACTTTTAATTGCCAATGGACCTTTCAAAGATGGCCAGTTTTGCATAGATTCGTTACAACAGATTGCCCGATCAGAAGTTTTCTAAGGAAACTGAACTTTAAAATTTCAAATTTATGTTATACTAGCTTTTTCCCGCGGCTTCGCTCGCATCGAATCCATATTTGTGTTATTTCTCTGATTTACGTGTTTTATACATTTATGTTTTCTTTCATTTTTAATTTTTTCGACAAACAATCATTTCTGCCAAACTTTTTTTTTCAATTTCAAAATTTTCAAATTTATTTTCCAAACATATATAAACTTCCAAAATAATTTTTTTAATAATCCGTAAAAAATTTATAAATTTTGTAATAAAAAGTATCCTATGTTCATTCTGACACCTCTAAGAGTATATGTTCAAAATTTCATGATGATCTGTTAAGTAGTTTTTGCGTGAAAGCTTAACAAACAAACGGACTTTCGCATTTATAATATTAGTATAGATTGACAATACAAAAAGTTTTTATTATCTACATATATATATTCTCATTGACATGGCTGATACTGAATGGACCAAATTTGCTTAATTATGTTTTATCAATTACCAGAAGACCCCAGCCCCGCCGTGCTGTGGCTATGGTATAATTAAATTATATTTGAGTAAGCTACCTATAGTAAAAATATTATTATCGAAGTTAATTTCGGCGTCTTTTGCTGTCAATATAACCCGATTACAGAGCCAGTTTTGTACAATAGTGCTGAAATTATCTGGCAATTAACCTAATCCGATTGTAAATAGTATTTTGTTCTTCTGTTAGTAATGGCTCACTCTTCGCCATAATTTTAGTTAAATTACTTGGTTATATTGTTTATACTTCAATATCACTCTTTATACTTCATTATACTCCAATATGTTTAATTAAATGGCATAAATATCAATGGGCATAATCGTCTTCTCCATGAAAAAATACATATACATACCAATGTTCATAATGATCGGTCAAATAGTTTCTAAGTCGATCGATTTCATAATATACACATCCTTCTTTATATAGATTGGGTAGCAGCATTAGTGGCTCGATCAATTTTTCTGGTCAATAATGATACATCCTAAATGTTTGCTTAGAACAGTATGATAAATATTAATTAACGCACTTTTTCTCTGTTAGAATGCGGTCAGACACCGTTTCCTCATCCATATTTTCATAAATGATAAAATTGGGCGTTAATAGGTTAAAAAAATTATGATAGATCTAGAATTAGTAGCTGACTGAATATTTCCATATGGTTATTATATACACATATGTATGTATGTCTCTATTCAAATAGAAAAGTCTTAAGTATGTAGATGTATATGAATATTTTAAATTGAATAATTGAATTGATTTATATCAGAGATCCAGTAATTTCATCGAAAACAAGAAAAAATGTTAGCTTTGGTTACACCGAAGCTACAATACCCTTCACAAATACAAAGGCTCATTACAAGAACTTGATTCCATCGTCATATTGACATATATAATATATATATTAAAAACCAGATGTTTCATATTCTTTTATTAAATTCTTTCAAATCACTTTATTTGCCTTCCTACTTGACAGAACAGGACCTTATAGTGTAAGGCTTATACGATGAGATGTGAACATCGAACTTTTAATATTATTTATATTCAATTCCGTATACGACCGCTTCGTAGGAAGCTAACTAGCCGCTCAGCTCTCGACTTTTTTCTAATACTTACATTTTTAAATTTGCGATATCGAATAGAATGTTCGAAACGAATGACTCAAAAAGTTTTATAAGCCTTGAATATGCAGTAATTAATTTTATAGGGAATAATACTAAGATATAAGATATAATACAAATAAAAAGCTTCTACGGAGTCGAGTTTTTTTTTAATAAAAGAGCACTTATTGTGACGTAACCAGAGAATTAGTGAATTAATGAATTCATTAACATTCTCTGATATAACTGTGTTGCTTACTGTGCAGATTTTAGCTACTTTATGGTTATACTTGAAAAGCCAGTAAAAATTATAACATTAACAATTATTTAAAGTAAAACTACAGCATTTACTTGCTCATGAGCCTCTTTTTTATAATTTGATTCATGAAGAAATGCAAATATATAAAATTCTTGACACTTTCCATCTTTACTTCACAATTCCAATTATACAAGTGGTTAAATCTCTCATTTTCCACACATTGAGCAAATGTTTCCCATTCATGACTTGCAACATGTTGCAACAAAGTATAATAATTTTGTTAACCTAACGGTGGTATGTATCACCTAAAACTAATCGAGATAAATATATGAATATAGATTTCTATACTAAAATAATCAGGATGACGAGACAAGTTAAAATCCGTAACTTCCGTAAGAACTTCACTTAACTAAAAATTAAGATATCTTGACGAAACTTGGTACACATGTTCTTTGGCATTTGTAGATGTACGTAATCGGACCACTGCTACGCCTACAAAACACCATTACTTGAAAACCTATAAAATGACATAACTAAGCAGCAAATTAAAATACAAAACCCAAATTTGGTACAACGAACCACATTAAGGAGGGTCACTTGTCACTAATAGGTTTAATGTGTATATCTATATCAGCTATATGTCCAAATTTGCACAGTTACTACTAACTACATATATTCCTTGGCAAAAAAGGGAGGACGAGTTCGTAGATGGGCGTGATCGAACCACTGCCACGCCTACAAAACGCCATTAAACGAAAATTTATAAAGTGCTATAACTTAGCATTTAAGTTTAATTTGGCACAGGGAAACGCAGTAAAAAGGGGCAACTGTAGACAAAAAATTCGGAAAAAATGGGCGTATCACCCCTACCAACGCTGTAAAATTGGATGATATCCGTTGGTAATCTCGCAAACTCCCCATATAACGGTTCTGTTAAAAACTACTAAAAGTTCGATAAATCAATAACGAAAAACGCCAGACACATAAAATTTTACACCCGATATGACAATTTCAAATTTCATTTGATTCTTTCACGTTCCAGTATGCAAATCAGACATCAATAAATGTATCAGGATAAAACTATGCCCGTATAGTGCGCTTAAAGTAGACCACCTAATAACCAAAAATTATCAAAATCGAACTACAACTATTTAAGCCCCCAGATACCGAATATGTGAGCCTCAGTTCCTATTGCGAACTTTTTATCGAAAATATCGGTCAATATATGAGATATGTTAATGAAATTCGGAACAAGTTCTTTCCTGATAACTGTATGCTTGTCTGCCGAAAATGGGTTGAATCGGATTAAGGCGTTTAGCCATATACCGAGAAAGATTTTCGAACTTCCGGTTGACTTTATAACACATATATCGGCCAATATGTGAGCTGTCTTAGCGAAAAGAGATAGCGTGTTTTACTAATAACAATGTATCTTTTTGCCTAAAACGCCAATACATTCCTTAGATCCCTTAGACCCCGTATACTTAAATACCTAATATACAATATTCAAACTTCCAGTTGGCCTTTCAAAATATGTACGAATTACGACCACTACCATTTTCGATTTTTTAACAAGCCTTATGACGAATATGTCGTTCACTGTGTGAGTTATATATTTATTAAATTGTTTTAGAATATGATATACATATGATCAATGTCTAAATTAATGTAATCAGCCCGTCCCTTTCTCTGCCCCCAATATATAGCATTTACAATGATTTCCGACTTTCCTACTTGACTTTAAACCGACAGGTTGGTCAAAATTTGTAAAATTTTAATTTAATTAAGTGGACAAGTTTCCTCGAATATTATTTGTTTTACCGCTAAATATGATTGGAATTGGTCTTAACCTCATATCCGTAATGTGAAGAATTCCGATCGCCCACACGCTTTCCACATCAATTCAATATATTAAATTAATCCTCTTCAGGTGAGTTTTTATTTTAACTTAACCGATTCCAACCAAACTCGGTACGTGACATTCTTCTCATATTTCTATGTTATAGTGCGAAAATGGGCGAAATCAGGTTACAACCACACCTATTTCGCATATAACACAATTTTAAATTCCATCGGATTCTTTCACTTTCCAGTAATCAAATCAATGAATCTCCACGCTCTTTCATTTTCATTGAGATAACTCACATATTGGCCGATATATGCGGTATAAAGTCACCCGAAAGGTTAGGTATATGAGGGATATAGGAAGTATTGATCCGATTCAACCCATTTTTGACACAAAAACATACTATTATCGAGAGTTTCATTTATTTATTTCATTATATGAATTTCAATTATATATCTTACACATTGACCGATATTTCTGGTAAAAAGTCAACTATAGGCACTGTTTTGGTTCGATTTTGACAATTTTTGGTCACAGGGTGGCATACTTTAAACACATTATTCATGCAAAGTTTTATCCCGATACAATCATTGTTGCTATAACATAGAAATATGCGAAGAATTTTATGTACCGAATTTGGTTGAAATCGGTTAAACAGATCCCAAGATATAGGTTTTTACCTAAAAGTGGGCGGTACCACGCCCACTGTCTAATTTTGAACGCGGTTCCTATAAAGTCATCTCATCCGATTCCAGAGATAAAACTTAATGTCTCTGACGTGTTTAGTGCTTGATTTATCGCGCTTTTAGTAGTCTTTAACAGTACCGTTATATGGAGGCGGGGTTGTCATCTGGATTCACTCATTTCCACACTGTCGATAGAGTTCGTATCAAAACATATACTCTCAGTGTAAGTTATTGTAGCTTTAGCGGTTTAGGAGATATCTACATTAAACCTATTAGGGCGGGACCACGCCCACTTTTTAAAAAAATTTAAACTGCAGATGCCTCTACCTAATGTGATCCTGTATACCAAATAACAGTCTTGTATCTTATTGTGGAGCTTAGTTATGGCAATTTATTTGTTTTTGATTAATGGCGTTTTGTGGGCGTGGTAGTGGTCCAATCACGCCCATCTGCAATACCAACCGTCTTACGGTACCAGGAAACATGTGTACCACGTTTCATAAAGATATCTCAATTTTTACTCAAGTTACAACATGCACAGACGGACGGACGGACGAACATACAGTCACCCGGATTTCAACTCGTCTCTTAATCCTGATCATTTATATATATATAACCCTATATCTAACTCGATTAGTTTTAGTTGATACAAACAACCGTTAGTTGAACAAAACTATTATACTCTGTAGCAACATATTTCGAGAGTATAAAAATATTACTTACCAAAACCTTATGCTTACCAACAGTGGCGGATTAAGCTTTTTGCCGCCCTAGGCCCTGTCTGATTAGCCGCCCTTTTCAAAGTAAGAAATTTTATTTCTTTGAGTCCATTCATATTATTTAGATAAAATATTTATTTCATAAAAATTGACTGTTATACATTTTTTAAAAATAATTTTAGTTCTACTTCATTATTAGAAAATTGAAATTTCAATAATTCATCAAATGTTTTATATTGATTCATTTATACTAAAATAGTAATCATATAAATTATTAATAGGAGCATTAAAAATTAAATTTTGTGGTTCAATTGACTTAAGATATAAAAATATTTCTTGAAATGATAAATTATTAATAAAGTTTTTTATTATTTTAATACAATTTTTATTTAAAATACTATTTGTATCCCAGAATTTAAAAGGTGAATACAGCCATATTGATGTATCCAAGATATGTTGTATTGGTACTGTAGGATGTTGTTTGATGAAATCTATTATTTGTTCTCCCTTTCCTCTCTTTTTACGCCTGGAATTTGGTTAATTTGCTTGCTCGCAGCAATATAATTCAACAATATTGCGAAAATAAAACATAAATTTTTAATTAATTTTTATTTTCTTTGAATTATTTTTATTTTTCCAAAAATTGGGTATGGAATGAATATATTCTTTTATTTTATTCTATAGGAAACATTTGGAAGAAAAAAATATTTTTATATACAAACAAAAAGATAAATTTTAAATGAATACTCAATATCAATTTATATATGTTAATTCTCCATGATTTATAAAACACCGGAATCATCGAAAAGAAAATTAGAAAAATTGTGCAATTTTTACAGCGTTTTACACAAAAGATTCACTTTACTAAAAATACAAAAAGTCAACAGAGCTTTGAAAATTCTTCAAAAAAAGCTTATCAATATTCAATTATTTCTGTTATAAAATATTATGTATCAGTATTGCACTTACGAATAGAAAAGTTAATCAGAAAATGAATTACATTTTATTTCATAGAAATTTATCCGTAAATTTATATAAAATAAATCAGAATAAATACTTAAAATGTATTGTCGTTACATTATATCAGGTTTAAAATTTTGATATTCTGAAAAATTTGCAGCCCCCCAAATTGCGCCGCCCTAGGCCCGGGCCTCACAGGCCTAGGCGGTAATCCATCACTGCTTACCAACCAAACTGCGAAAGGCAAATGAAACTATCCATTTTGATCCGATCGGACCCAAAAAGCGCTGGACACAAGTGTACATCCATTAGAGCACCAGCGTTAATATTAGTACTAGGGTGTAGAATTAGTCTGATAGATAACCATGAACAGACAAAGTATGTTACCCTTGAGAAACACAGAATATTAATTTACCTTTGTAACGAAGAAAATAACATTAATTTTTATACTCCCAGCTAAAACTCATCGATGTAGATAAAGAGTTATATATATGTATATAAATGATCAGGATGATAAGATAAGTTGAATTCCGAATGACCGTATGTTTGTCCAACCGTCCGTGTAAGTGAAAACTTTAATAAAAATTTATATATATTGATTAAAATTGCCCCGCACACTAAACGCCATTAAGCAAAAACCTATAAAGTACTATAACTAAGGTCCTAATTAATTTGATACAGATAATTGCAGTGGTAAGAGGCAACTGAGGACATCAAATTTTTAAAAAGTGGGCGTAGCCCCACACCCTAATAGCATTAATGTACATATCTCACAAAACTCTAAAGCTATATCAACCAAATATAGAAAAGTACTAAAAAGTGATAATTAAAAAAGTAAATTCGTCACAATCATTAAATTTTACACCCGAGATGGTACAAAAGAAAGTCGATGTAAAAATTTCTTGAACATTTATAAATAAATTTTATCTAAGTTTTAAAATCCATATTATTCTTTCACTTTACGGAATATAATTCGCGAGCCAATGATGTTATCGAAATAAAACCTTGCACGCAAAATGTATTTTAGGTATGCAATCTTACGTGTAAAAATAGGCGGAATCGGACTATAACTTTTAAAGTCTCCATTATATTAAATTCAGCTCCTTTGGTTAAGTTTATATCACATCTATCTCATTTGAGTTGATTAAGTTGATTTTATACAAACAAGTATTTCGGATACGAATGAAACTGAATGAGTCTATGACCTATGTACATATATCTAATAAACATAAGTTGATAAGATACCAAATTTGATTGTAATATATTCGGTTTCTTGGAAAAAGGAATGTTGAATTCTTTCGCAACATTTGTAATATAAAGTTTTGCCAACACCTGAAGGAATTTTTCCGGCTTTAATCTTTGTAAATTGTGAAGGGTATAAAATGTTCGATTACACCCGAACATCGACTTTCCTTGTTACTATTGCATTCATACACTTTCTGAATTGCAAAACCGTCTCATGTCATAAAAATTGCTTGGAATCTATAATCTCAAATTTAACCCTATGGAGGAAGTCTAGTGGATTATATTTGGCTTTATGCTTGTGTTGCATACTAAAACAGGATTGATATTTTTGGAAGGCTGCAGAATTCTGTCTACTTGAAAACCCAGATTACAACCTTGAGTTAACATTTTCGCGAAGAAACATAAAAACATGGAAAACAATTCCGTTTAAAGGAATTTAAAATAGTTATGTTTAGTAGAATTAAATTAATTTGTAAATTTCTATAGTTGATTCAGTCTTTTCAAGTTGGTTAATGTTGACAATTTTAAAGAATTTTGAATCATATTTACTAACTATCAATTATTACAATCTAAATATTAAATTATATTAATATATGAACAGACACTATAAACTACTTCAAAATTTCATAAAGTGTTCAAAGAGGAGGAGGAGGATTTCTTTGAAGATTAATTTTGGTAAGCTATTAAGTAAACATAGAAACGTTTTTCGAGGAATGAAAAATAAAATGGACATATTTTCTTTAAGGTATGGAATGTATACAAACTCTAAAAATCGCAAAACTATGTAGACAACTGCGCTTGACAGTTGCAAGCGTTTAACAGTTCTACCTACTATAATATACACAACTGTATGCGGTTGCTAGACGATACTCTCTCGTAAAGTACAATTTGGTATTCTGTACTCGAACAATTACAAGTATATTTGTGTAATAGGGGGGTTAGAGTGTTGTGACTATGCCCAAGTTCTGAGTTCAAATATTCATTATGAATATGTATGTATTATGACTCATACGTAATAGCATGAATAACTTTGTCATATAATCTTAGACAGCAGTTTATTAGTTTTCACATCTTTCTTGCCTTTTATTATCAGCAAAATGGTATATTTATGTTTTTCCGAATTCCAAGAAAGTACTGCTAATTGTTTGAATTGAATTTCATGTATGTATGTACATGTATATATGTACAAATATATTTAAAATTGTGCTTGTTTTTAATGAATAAAATGTCAACGCTAAGCCATTTTGGCTCTTAAGAAGATATTTAACGAAATTTGTAAAAACATTTGTTGTGGCAGAAGTGTTGGACACGTTGCAATAGTCAATTAAACTTATTCTTTTGTCAACGGGAAGATCTACAAAGTGTCACCAAGGGTACATACATAAGTACGTAGGTATGTGTGTATATTAGTACTAATTTACCCGCTGCTAATCAACTGTCGTGACACAAATAATTGTGAAAATGGCTTTCGTCCATGTGTAATTAGTATAAATAATGACATCAATATAGTTTCCTTTATAAAAAAAATTACAAAAATATCATAAGCATATTATATATAAATACTTACTTATTTAAATCTCATTTTGTTTTATAAATAAACAAAAAAGGAATGGGGCTAATTGTTGATCATGTATATTTAATCCAAGAAGCTGAAATGATAACACGTTAATTGCAGAATAATTTAATATATGGTCAAATAGCTGGAAGCCTTTTAATAAAATGTCTGTATATATTTTATAGGGTTTGCACCGTTTCATTCTCAGTGTTACATATTTCATGGCAAACTTAATCAGGGGTGTTGCAGAATCTGATAGTTGTCGGAATCAAAATTGAAACCGATAAGAAAATGTAGTAAGTGTCATGAATTCAGATATTATTGGTTTGACGTTAGAAACAGAAATTTATCGGTTTTGGGTGTCACGGAAACCAATTTTATCGGTTTTGTTATCAGAAACAAAGCAAGAGGATATTCGTTGACAGAATTGAAATATAAGTTAAGAAAATAATTTATATTATTGTTACGATTTAATTTATCGTTATTTCTATAAGAAAAACATAAGAATAAAGTCATAATTAATGAGTTTATGGGACAAAATCCAGATATTTTAAGAAGATTTACAAAACGTAATTTAACACCCAAATGCGTCTTTATTCCATCGATAATGTGATATAAATCTGTAAAGTAAGCATGTATACAAACATACAAGTAAATGCAAGCCAAATTTCACATGCGACTCCCCTAGTGCATCAAGAGGATTACTTTGATCTTTTAAAATCTTCCTTTTCATTTTTTCGTTATTTTTTTCTTCCAATAAAATAAAAGCTAAAATAGCGGAACTCATAGTAAACTTTAGTAGACTTTATTCGGTATTTTAAATTTATCAAACACCTCCAAATTTATTCATTGTAAGTTTTGTGACAATAGTAAACAGCTGATTCGAATATTGGTTTTGCATATGTTCGAAGAGACGAAAATACAATCAGATTCTGTGACACCATTGAAAATCAGAATTGGTTTTCAATTCTGGCAACTAAAATCTGCCTTGGATTCCAAAACACCCCTGAATATACCCGGTTCAGTCTATAATCAAAGAACCGGCATACTTCTCGGTTTTCGTAACATTTAAAAAATTTAGACAAAGGATATTGTGAAATATATATTTCTTTGTTATTTCAAAAAATTCCTTATTAGCAAGTTCTTTAAATATCTTCTGCTTCAAAAGTACGTGATTTGCTATTATTGCCAGCAAAAATTAAAAGGTCTGGAATATGTTTAGCAAAAAAGAATGAGCGAGGTCCACATCTTAACCTTCTTTTTTGATTTTCTGACGGATAAGATTGGTATCTAACCGAAATTATAAGAAACGGCTGAAGGATACTACAAATGTGCTTAATTATATTTATAAACTATGCACGTTGAGATCGTTGTTAGAACATGAAGATGATGGATTTGAGACTGGAACACTTCATTTGTGAAATTATCCGTAGATTCTCAATTACGAGAAACCAGCTTAAATGCGTATTTTTAGTTACTGTTTATCAGTATTTTATAAATTTAATAAGACTATTTAAAATCGGTACAATATTAACAACAAAAAGCCTTACTAACCTCATTAAGGTCGTTTTCTCCCTTGCTCATTTGTCGGAATCGGATATCGGGCATACAGATATGGTAAGTAATTGAACTACAACCACGTCTATATTCCACTAGGCACAAGTTTAAAATCCATCAGATCCGTTTTACCATAAAATAAATATATGCATTCAACATTAACGAAGTTAAAAAAAAAACCAAGTAGAATTAAGCCCACTGAGATAAGGCAAATCTAATCCCAAAAGTCCAAAATTTTTCTTACATCGTTACTTCGTTTACTGGTTATTCTGATTTGCAACTAAAATAATTGCACTTTACCCTGGATCTACAACTAAAATCCCTAGGTCAGTGTGAAAGATGATGGATAGCCCCGTTATAATTATGTGTTTAAATAAGTGAAAGTTTCGCTTACTGGCAGCTGGTTACTGAATATTGACTACCGAGTTTAGTTTACAAGATTCTGTATCTCTATTATTACTACAGTACTCTTTATTTTACGGCATTTGGAGTCTAAAGGGTTTTTATATCTTCAATAGTTTTCTATTATTTTTTTAATATTTCTAATTTCTTTAAGAACATTGCTTAGCTGTAGCATTACGTTACTACATATATAATATAATTTTTTGTGATTATTTTATTGTTTAAGACATTAATGACGATCGTAAAAAGCGACCACGAACCGCTTTCTCAGCATCTCAGATTAAAACCTTAGAAACGGAATTCGAGCGAGGCAAATATCTCTCTGTCGCCAAGAGAACATCATTAGCTAAACAGTTACATTTAACCGAAACGCAGGTATATTCGTATATTCCATATTTTGTTCTCAACCCTTTTACACCTTCTTGTTTTATTGTAGATCAAAATTTGGTTTCAAAATCGACGCACTAAATGGAAACGGAAATACACGGCTGATGTTGAATCGCTCGCCTCCCATTACTATGCACAATTAGGCATTGGTGGTCTAGCCCGCCCAATGGTGGTCGGTGACCGCCTCTGGCTCTTTAGCCAAACACCGTCTGGTCCCACACCATTTCAGTCGATCATGTTAAACGGCGGTGTAACATCGACTTCGATGGCAGCTAAGATGCGTCCTTACAGCACAAATTTACCATCCACATCCAGTGGTTCTGCGACTCCGGCTCTAATGCCGCCATTGCCAGTGATTGAGAGTGCGCGAAACGCTATATTAGCGCGAGGGCAACCGCTGAATTTCGCCCTACCCTACAGTTTGGCAACCGCAGCCACTACAGGTGCTAAAAGCACAGATAATAACGTTAACGGACCACCGCAGTTGGGGTCCCCAGCCAAGCACTACAGAGCGTCGGGTGAGTTTGTGGATCGCTTCTTGGAGTATAACACTCTTCCAATGACTCTAGTCAATGTTAACTCATACTGCCACAACGAAAATTTATTAACAAATAACTCTACACATGACACTTACTTAGCGTTAAAATATGGTGCGATACCACTAGAAGATGATCCAACGACCTCGAACGGCTTGGCCGAGCTTGAACGAGTCTTTGGCGATACTAACGCCAACTTCTTGCAAAAGAGAATCAACGACGCCAATTTGAATGGAAGTGAAAAATTGGGCTCATCACGCAATCCAAGAAACCACTTGATGCCATTCTTTTCGGACTCCGACTGCAGCGATATAGATTGTGAACAAATCGATGAACCTGACGACGTTTAAATTTTCTTACAAAATGTAAATATTTATAGAGGTTTATACCTAATAATAGAGGACAATTGTTTTATTAAATATCATATGGAATACTACAGTTAGCTCTATCAAAAAAATTTCATACTGGGCACAATAAATTAATTAATTTACTTTTACTCAAATAAGAGAAGAACAATGTTAACCAATATGCACCATTTATATAAATATTGAACTCTCCATAGATTTAAATTGGAAAATATTTATCTATATTAGAATGTTTAGTGGACTCGTTACTTGAAGTTACGAGTTTGGGTAAATTGAAGCATCACGACGTTTGTATAAAAATTATGTCAACTATCAACTAAATGCAAATCATTCGTATACAAATCACAACAGTTCCTTACTTGGTAAATAGGAAACAATACAAATGCGCACATATTTAACAGAAAATCTTATTTTTTTTTTTATTTGGAAACTTTTTATCAATGTACACATGTATATATATGTATAACTTAAAGGTCAATCACACAAAAATTGAACAAAAAGCAATGTTTACATTAGCTATTTGATGGAGAACACATTAAATAGAACTAATGTACGTAACCAAATGAGAGAAAATATTTCTCTAAGGAATTTACAGCGTTTTGCTAACGCTTACAAAAGTAATAGTGTGTAAATAGTTTTTTTTTTATATTACATATGTATCTTCAATATCTTTATGTATATAGTTCTAGCTTCATTAATATATAAATAAATACAACAAAGTCAAAATTTACACTCACATCTACCTTAATTTAGTTTTTGGTTGCGGCTATTAGTTATAATTTTATAATAAACCTTCAATGTTACTTCTTAAGTAAACACATTATAGCCTATAAAAAACATGTTCGCAGACATATTTTCCTTAAATATATTGTGTGGTACTTCTTTTCGCCAATTATGGTAATATATACTAAAAATATTAGCTCTCAAATGTTCAAATGTTGCTACTTAGTCCAAGTTCAAAATATGTACAATATTCTGTTAGCTCCATGAGAGATCGTAGCCCTTCCAATTAGCGCTTGGTGCCAAGTATACACGACGTTTTTGGTAAAAGAATGAAACAATACCGTGATAAGCCGTCCTTGGCACACCACTCTACGCAGAAAGCGCACATACATAAAGTTGGAACAAATTAGACCACATATAAATTAAATACATAGAGAAATACGACTCACCTTGAAGTCGCCCATGAGTCCTAAAATTGATGTTATATGTTTATATTGCTCTCTAGTTGTATATTGTATTCGAACTGGTCCATCAGTTTTAATGAGATTTCTGCGTAATTCGTCATATGTAACAATAGGGTAAGAATAAACGTCATTCAGAAAGTCACGATCGTAGTTTTCCTAAAATATATGCAATGTCTCTATTAGAATAGAGTGGATTAACGAATTAAAAGTAATACTTACTCTTAATAAGTAGGTGAGATTCATTTTAGAAAAGTTTACATAATGTTCACTAAGTTTAATGTACTTAAGATATTTGTCGAAAAATAACCCACTACAAGAAAAAGATTTTTTATATTTCAGTTTTAGTTCCTTATACTTTGAATTATTGCTTTAAAATTTAATGAATATAAGTGCTTACTTCGAAACCCCGATTTTTCCGAAGGTTCTTGTCCGCGATATTTCCGGTCTGATGCAAGCTCTTTCTTTTCGCTGCTCCGGATGTCTAATCCAATCGTCCCAAAAGCTATGGAAATAAAACGATAATTATAATAAAATTAGATCGAATTGAATTAAATTCAATCAGTGAATTCTAATAAAACATAATAGAACAATAAGTCCTAAGGAAACAAACTTACGATTTTGGCCATTTAACAGATAATTCTTGCCATAGATTTTTAGTAAGCATCCACCCAAGTCCCGGGAAAAAATCGGTTCTATATAACAATTCAGACTTGGTGTTGTCTACAAATTTATCTTTACCATTGTCGTTCCATGCTGATACACACCTGTCAATATTAATAAGGAAAGTTTACTGAAATGTTAATCTCTAGAGAAATAGTTCATGTACCACAGTGAGGGATCTTGCTTAAGTAAAACATGTGTACCCAAAAAGTATTCATAAAAATCAGGAGCGACATTTAAATCATCCTCTACAATAACGACGTATTCGTAACCTCTTTGGAATGTAGTGTTCAGTGCCCAACCGTAATGACGTGCTATTTTGTAATATCCTTTGAATTTTTTTTCTCGTGGGGGCGTTAATATATCGGATTGGTCAGGTTGTTCAATCAGTGTGACCTGAGAACCATAACTTAGAATTGCTTTCTTCGTTTGCTGATCGCCACAATCCTGGAAATATATTTCAGGATCGTACATTTTACTATGATTGCATATTTTTTATATCCAGTAAAATTACCTGAGATACTATAATCGGAAACTGATCAGCAGTTGGTCGATATTGTATTAAATTGTCAAGACATTTTCGTATGGAAACACGATTACATGCTATTACCAATATTGGTATAACTGGTTCGCCATTGGGCATATTGGTCATTGTGGGTATTGCTATTAGAGAACCTTTTCCGCTAACTCCAACATTATCTTCAGATATTTTTTCGGTATCGCTTTTTACTCGCTGCGTTTCTTCTAGGCTCAAGGCATGATCCGGTCGTAAAGGAAATATGCCTATAGGACGTTCCGTTTTCTCTTTGTATGCCTGTGGTTCTTCTACTTCATCTATAGTCATTGTTTTCTTTAAAATTTCTATTAGCTGCCCTACAAGTTTACTGTTTTCTATGTTTTCTATTCGAGATTCACGTTCTAATTTACTTAATTTTTGGATGAGCAAATGTTCCTTTAAGGGGTATATGGTACTATTTCGTATTAAAAAATAATATGTTATAAAAGTCCAGGTTGTTAGAAAACCAGCTATTATCAGGATCTTGCGTGAACGCATTTTTATTCGAAATAGGTGGGAATTTTTTTCTGAGTCTGTTGGCAATGCAAAAAATTCAAATTTTAACTTGGTTTAGTATTTCCACATTTCTTCGTTAAAGCTTAAATACTCCAACAATAAGCGAAGATAATTTGATAAATAATATTTAGGCTGTGTGATTAGATGGTTACCATTTTGCTGAAATGAAAAATAAGTATGTAATAAATCATATGTAGATATAGATAATTATATATTGTTTCAGTTATCACGATACATTAATACAGTCACTTAACTACTAAGAGCTGATGAAAAAAAACTAAATTACAATAAATGTAACACTTCGCATTCATTATCTATTAAGTTATTTTTGTATAGTTAGTAAATTGTTCTTTAATTTAATTATTGACAATATTTTACGACTAAGAGCAACCTGTTCAATTAAAAAACTGCATATTTGGTAATCTGCGTACTAAATATTTTTTGTTTTTTAAGGCTTTGTAATACTAACGCAAATAAGCGTCTTTGTTTTAATTCTGACAGTAGTAGCATAATGCCATAAGTATTTTTTGAATACTTACCTGTACCGCATCTAGTCCGGTACGTTCTGTTGAATTATGTTATATTATAATCTTCTCTAAGTCAGCAGCATAATTTTGTGGTCTGTGCTCCAAAATCTCCTTCAACTTCTCCCGTCGTTGTGTATAATGACGAAACTCCCATTAAATTGGCTATATACTTCGGTAACACAGTTCAAAATTATGTGCTTCACTGATTAGTTTATGTACATGCAATGCGAGCGGATAACACACCGCCATTTGGCTATAATACATCACTAGTACAATTCGTTTTCAATAATATTAATCAGTAAAATTGTCTAATAATTGTTGTTGTTGTTGAAGATGTCAACGATACTTCCACTTCGAAAAAAGCCAATGCTTCATAAATTAAATCTAATTGTGTGATGGTATACCTAGCAGCAGAATACAACTTATGATTTTACAGTTTTTGCCACATATGCGCCGACCGCTAATAATTAGATTAATTTTTTGCCAGATAGATTGATGCATTAATGTTTATCTAAAACCTAGCAAAGTGCAATGTACACCTAATGCAGCAATTGTTTTACATAGTTTTTGATGTTATACTCCTATTAAATATTTATCATCTAGCTAAAAACTTAAATTTTACTCTTGCGTTTGCTTGTAAATTGGCAAAATAAATGTCAGAACTGTGTATTCATCAACAGCTGTTTTGCCCCAGTATACCGTTGACAATTGTGTCAACAAAGCTATTGTGAATTGGGTATTACAAATAGAAATATACTTGTATACCATTGAGAACACCAAAGAGTGCAAGTTTCAAAACTAGCAGCAGATTTCAACATTAATACAATTATTATCCAATTTATAACTGAATGTTGGTAAAGGGAAAAAAAATATTAAGCACATAGAAAAATATTGTATTGTTATTAAGGTTTTCATATTATTTAAGTTTTCTTAAAAACAACTTTTATGCGGCAACACTGCTTAGAAATCAGATCAGTCGAAAATTCACAATTGTGGTTATTTTAAATTTTTAAAACTTTTATCCAAATAATTTTTTGACTATTTATTAGTATTTTCCATTAGATTATGTTCGAACTATAGAGCTAGCAGCTTTTACCTGTTTAATAACTCGTAAGCCAATAAAATAAATTTATTTTTCGATACATAACATGAAATTTACCACATTGTATTAGTTTATTAATTTTTGAACCAAAAATTCCGAAAGCTAGTTACATGAACGATATTATTTTGACATTCGCTATAGTTTTATTTTGACGTCCCAAAATAGGAATCATAAGAATAAGGATTTCTTACTTGTCTACCAGCGAAACCGAATTCTCGTACCAGCAAAAAATAGTTCACTGAATATTAGTCTTTCTCATAAATAGCTTTTTTAATAAGTTCATTCCATTATTTAATTGTGTAAGATTGTGTCAATACGGAGCGTGCTTCCTCTTACGAAAGAAGTGTTTGCATCAATAATGTCAAAAAAAACTGTTTTATCTTTTTCTCATAATTTTTCCGTTAACATTTTAAAATTTTTATGTGATTCAGTTATCACTTTAAAAACGTATTTTCATTGGATGAAATGTTTGAAAAATATATTTTTGAATCATAAATTCAAAACAATACAAAGCAAAACGGCTTATTTTGACATTGTGGTTTCTTTGGTTCTTTTGACAAGTTGTTGTTTTTGGGCTGTCGACACAACCTTATATAATTGAATCATGAAAGAAGACTAACTTCTCTAAAATTATTTTCTAATATACATACTTACATGTATGTACGACGCCGAAAAACTCTGGCTGATCTCTGTATATGAGCCTATATGCCACAAGATGATGATGTGGAACCACCCCCGATATTGTTGAAAAAGAACTTCGCTAAGGTTTAGCGAAGAAAAACCAGCGTTATTATTGGTTTTTGCGCCACTTCATGATTAGACCCTAGACTGATCTTGCCCACTGAAAACAACGAAGAGCACAGAGAAACGCCTCTAGTGGATCATAGAACTCTCGGAAATCAGAGCACCTTGCAGCCGGTTATTCAACAAGACACGCTGGAATGGGCTCACTGACGATGAAGCGTTAAATTATGTGGAACTGGCAATATACAAGTCCGGAATAAGGAAAACTAAGAGGTTTTCATGGGAAGTCTATTAAAATAACGAAAATCATTATATTTACATATTTAGCATTAATCTAAAATATACCCAATATTAAAAGTTCACTTAATATTAATAAGATATTTTACATATTGACCATATTTATATAAAGACAACCGGAAGTTTGAAATTATTATATACAAGGTACAATTCAAAAGTTCCAGGACTTTTTAAACAACGCGGCTTCTAGTAGCGCCATCTGTCTGAAATTGTTATCCCTCAATTGTGTATTCTTCAGTGTTGTCGTATAAAATTTATATAACAGCTGACTTGTATAACAGCTGAGATATCGCGCTACATGTGACATTACATTTGTAGTGTCGGTCGGAAAATGAGCATCGAACAAACAGCCAGCATTAAGTTTTGTTTTAAACTTGGTAAAACTTTTACCAAGTTTATGGCGATGATTGTCTATCCCGTAGCCGTATTCACGAGTGGTTTAAACGTTTTCAAAGTGGTCGTGAGAACATAAATGAGAAATGAGTCGAAACCCAAAAAATCGCGCCTGGAGAAGTCAAAAGTGAAGACAATGCTAATTTGTTTTTATGATTCCAAGGGTATTGTCCACAAAGAATTTGTTCCACCCGGCCAAAACGTTAATGCGGTATTCTACCTTGTAGTTTTTAAGCGTTAGCACGTATTCGTCGCATTAGGCCCGAATATCGCGAAGATTCAAGTTGGCGTTTGTTGCACGATAATGCGCCGTCTCATCGATCGACGCATGTGGCCGATTATTTGACCAAAATCAAATTTTAACAATCAACCACTCCCCGTATTCACCTGATATGGCACCGTACGACTTCTACCCTTTCGGAAAACCACATTTGGCCATGAAAGAAAACCGCTATGCTGACGTTGATGCCATCCAAAAGGCGACGACAGCCATCCTCAACGCTATACCGACAAATGACCTAAATTCGATAACCTTCTTAACCGTGCAAAACGTTGTATTCAAGCGGAAGTAGACTATTTTGAAGACGACCAAAACATTTTTCAAAAAAAAAAAAACAAATAATATTCGTTTGTTAATAAAAGTCCTGAAACTTTTGAATTGCACCTTGTATATCAGGTAAATGGCGGCTAGGGGAAATATTGACCCAATTTGATTCATTTTCGGTACAAGGATACATTATAATCAGGAAAATAATTCCTCTGAATTTTAATAATTAATACAATGCATATTTTACTTGGACTCTTTGTGCAAGGTTTAATTCATATATATTTATATATTCTGCAAGGGAAAAGAATCATTGCATCTTTTTAAACTTGTGTTATATGGGAAGTAAGCGTGATTGTAGCCCGATTTCGCCGATTCTTACACTGCAACTTAAACAGTCAGGGTTATGTAATGTGCCGAATTTGGTTGGATATAGGTTTTCTCCATACCATAGTCCGTTTGTTGAATTTTGTTTCTGAAATTTCATGCTTCTGACGTATATTTAGTAAGCAACTTACGCCTACCGATCTATTCAATGAATTAGCGCAGAAACTAACTAACACGTAAACACTGCAACTGATACGGCCTTTGCGTAAGAAAGCTTTGGTTAGAATTGGCAATTAACCTAAGAAACTTATATAAGCTTTAACAGAAATCTCTGGTAGCGCTGTTGGGTAATTAAGTTAAGTCAGATTTTTTTTCCTTAACCACAAGGATGTGGAAAATTGGATGCGCTTGTTTTTTAAATATGCATCAATTTAAGTTTTAATGCTTTTTAGTTTAATGATAAAAGCGACATACTAATACCAGCAAGACAGGCAATTGTCATTTTCCATGCGAGAAAACAGTTATGTACATATGTATGTATATTAGTAAAAGCTTCTTATCATCCCGCATTTAAGAAGTAAAAACACAAATTGCCAGCGACATTCGAAAATTGTTCAAATGTGTCCTAATTATTGAATTTGCAATACCACATGAACATTAAATTTCGTTATACATACAAACATATATACTATATAAATATATATTTAAATATGTATATTAAGAGGACCCCGGCCACGCGTTGCAGTTGCGAAGTTATACATAAAAATATATTATTATAAACTAATAAATACAGTAAAATTGTGCTTGTGAATAAAAATGAAAACGTTAAAACGGCGGTAAAAAATTTGCGGTTTATTTGATGGTTTTTTTATACTGCAACGGGGAACTATAGAAATACGTGACAACAGGACCATTTTTCCGTTAAATTTTCCGGTCAAAGTGGTTACTTCAATAATATTGCCGGTGAACTTTTTGATTACCAAACGTGTACCGTTACATAATAGAAGTGGGTTCAAATTACGCTAAAGAATAATAGGTGAACCCATTTCAACCAAACAATATGTAAAGAGATTTCGAGTATATCTAGAGAATTTTAAAATACAATTTGAAAATTTACGTTTTCTTTGGCAACAACTATTCCCAATATCTATCATTTCTTCGGTGTATATTTCTGCTGGTGAATCAATTTGCAATTGTACGCGCATATTTTTGGTCAATCAAATCATTTCACACTTCACCATAAGAACGATTGTTTAAACATTCGTTAATCTCATTGGCTTAAGAAGAGCAAAGAATGACCCATCTCTCGGAAACCGCCAGACAGTAGTAATTTCATCGTTGCCGTTCAAATCTTGCATTGTTCTGTGCCATGCATCGAGAATATTTGTGAGCCATTATGCACTCACCTTAAATTGCGTCGTTCGCCCATCATCTAGCAAAGTAGCCGCAATGCCTGGGGTTGCAACTGCGGTTTTATGTTGTGATATCATAAATGCCTAGCCGGTTTCACATGGGGTGTCCAAGAAAAAACCGCCTTTTTAGTTACAACTAAGTGTTAATCAGTTATAATATAATCTATATTCCTATGTATGTAAACAAAAATTTTTGGTTGTGTATTTAAAAAGTTGTGCAAAATGCCAAGTAATCAGAATAAATAAACTCATTACCAAAAAATTGGTAATTAGACAAAGAAAAGTTATTTTCTCGACAAAAAGCAGCTAGTCTTGGCCATCTTAGCCATTCAACTATTGTTCGTCTTTTACAAAACAAAGAGAATAGTGATGTGTTGGAGCGTAAAAACGTATTAGGTCGTCCTCAAAAATCAACTGAGAGAACAGGTCAGCGACCGCTTCAAAATTGCACTTCCTCTAAGGGCGGGGATGCAAAATTTTCACCAAGTTCATTAGGTGTCGAAACCATACGCCAACGGCTTAGAGATGTGGGTTTAAATGGAAGACGACCTGTCAAAAAGCCACTATTAACACAACAAATGAATGCTGGAACTCCTTCTTGGGCTAAAAACAACAAAATTGGAATAAAAATGATTGGCAACAGATTATGTGGGCTGACAAAAAGCAAACTTAATTTGCTAAGATCACAAAATTTGCTTCACATGCGCCGTTCAGATGGTGAGAGGTTCCAAGATAATTGATTGGAAACAAATCTTTTATAAAACATTTATACAATATTGGTGTGTTTGATCCTATTCAGCTCGAAATTTTATTTTTAGTTGGCCAATACATTAAACGATCTAGGGATACAACTCTTTGAATGGCCTAGAAACACGCCCGACTTAAACCCTA